TGTAAAACTACATGGGTGGAGCTGCCCAAGACCATGGGAATCCACCTCTTGCATCAGTGTAACCTGGATATGAGACCTGGAACAAAGGAGATCATTTTGTAGCTTTAGAGTTTTACTGCCCCACTGATTTCAGACTTGCATGGGCCCTGTAACCTCTTTGTTTTGGCCAATTTCTCCCTTTTGGAATGGCTGTATTTACACAATACCTGCACCCCCCACTGTATCTAGAAAATAACTAGCTTGCCTTTGATTTTACAGGCTCATAGGCAGAAGGGACTTGCCTTGTCTCAGATGAAATTTTGGGCTGTGAACTTACGGATTAATGCTAAAACGAGTTAATACTTTGGAGGACTATTCAGAAGGCATGGTCAGTTATTAAATGTGAGGACATGAGATTTGGAGGGGCCAGGGGCAAAATGATAGGGTTTGGCTATGTCCCCACCAAATCTCAACTTGAATTGTATCTCCCAGAATTCCTATATATTGCGGGAAGGACCTGGGGGAGGTAACTGAATCATGGGGGCCAGTCTTTCCCATACTATTCTCATGATAGTGAAATAAGTCTCATGAGATCTGATGTGTTTATCAGGGGTTTCCACTTTTGCTTCTTCCTCATTTTTCTCTCGCTCCTACCATGTAAGAATTGCCTTTTACCTTCCATCATGATTCAGGCCTCCTCAGCCACGTGGAACTGTAAGTCTAATTAAACCTCTATTTGTTCCCAGTTTCAGATCTTTAACAATAGCATGAAAACAGATTAATACAAATAATGACCAAAAAGTGGCAGTTCTATCAGTCCAAGTTCACTTCAGTGACTTCTGTGAGCAGATCCCTTGCAGACCATTGATGGATATGTATCATGAGTAAGAATAATTCTGTGTATTTTAAGCCAATGAGATTTTGAGGTTGTTTGTTACCACAGCACAATAGGGTTTATCCTAACTGTTCAACCTCTTTCAGTTTACATTTGGGCTTATATGATAGCCTCACTGTCAAACCTAGAAAGAAGCAAAGATTCAAATAGCAACAGAGTAGTGTTCTTCTGGAAAATGTTTCTAATAATTCCATTTGTCCTTTGTTAGGTCCATGTTTTTTCCTGGTGTCTCTCTTCATGCTTTGGATATCAGTGAAGGTGTTCATTGGAGAGACTGAGAAGAAATGAATGTAAAAATAAATAAATAAATAAATAAATAAATGGAAACTTGTCAGTATCTTCTAAAATGAACTTATTTTGAAAATTACATAAGAATAGACTATGAAGCAAGTGAGAGGAAATCTATTTTCAATACTATATCACTAGTTTTGTTTTTGTTTTTGTTTTGAGACAGGGTCTCACTCTTAACACCCAGGCTGGAGTGCAGTGGCACTATTTCAGCTCACTGCAACTTCCACCTCCCAGGCTTAAGCAATCCTCTACCTCTGCCTCCCAAGTGGCTGAGACTACAGGTGCCCACCACAACACCCAGCTGATTTGTGTGTGTGTGTTTTTTTTTTTGTTTTTTTTTTTTGTTTTTTTTTGTAGAGATGGGGTTTACACCATGTTGTCCAGGCTGGTCTCAAACTCCTGAGTTCAAGCAATCTGCCCACATTGGCTTCCCAAAGTGCTAGGATTACAGGTCTGCACCACTGCACCTGGCCAACACTACATCACTTTCTACAACTATATTTTTATGTCTTCCCTAGTGTGGTCAGTAGAAATACCCTTTTCACTAAATGCTGCAATGCGGCATCTACCTTTATTCATTGGCTCAGAATATTTAATTAATTTTTATTGAAAATATAAGCTTTGGAAGATCACAATCATAACTGTTATGTTCACTGTATGATAGATATACAGGAACATGTACTTGTCTATCTAATCCATAGCACCTGAGTCTGTAAGACAAGCGAATGGGAAGGCTCTTTTGAAAGACAGAAGAAAATTCTAACGTACCTGAAGAATGCATGGCTCTACTCAACAACTTATGAGTTAACTTCTGGAAAAAAATTAAAAGACAATCTCTGTGAAATTAATATTTTAAATATAATATTTATTTTTATCAAAGTAATTCACATACACTCAGAGGCAAATATTACTATCTTATAACAAAAACAGCAGTTACCTATTTGGGGTCTGGTAGAGGTAAACTCAAAATAATATGTTATTATACGGCAAGAGTAAGAACAATAACTAAATCTAGATTAACCCCTAGTTTTGAGGACTAAGTCACTAGGTGGATGGCAAGTTCATTAATTAAGATGGGGAAAGACTGGTAAGAACAGGATTTCCAGCATAGAGGAAAAGCAAAGAATCAAGAATTCTAAATCAGACATAGAGATTTAGACATAAAAAGTGAAGATGTTGAGTAGACAGTTTTATATACAATCTGTAGTTCAGGACATGAGTCATGGGCAAGGTTACTGGTTTGGAGGTCACCTAGGTGTAGATTACATTTAAAGATATTGAAATGATGGCAACTTCAGAGAAGAGAGCATACAAAAACTGAAGCTGACATCATTCAACATGCAGCATTCAGGCCAAGGAAGAGAGCCAGAAAAGAAGACTGAGAAACTGTGGCCAGGAAGATTGGCAGAAAGCCAGGAGAGGTGGTGACTCTGGAGTAAGTAGGGGTTCAAGAAGGAGTCAACAGTCAACTGTGTCCATGCAGCTTACTGCTCACTATATAAACCTAGCCATCCTTTATTTCCCTGCCTCTATTCTACGTGGTAATTTTCACAGTTCCCCTCCAATTTCTCACCTCTGTGCTTTTGCTCCTATTATTCTTCTGCATTAGAATACCTCCTCACCTGTCAAAATTCTATCTATCCTTCAAGACCCATCAAGATACCATCAACTTTGTAATACATTTCCTAACTCCACTAATAAAATATACTTTCTTTCTCCATACTATTGGATAGCCCATTGCATGTCAAATTTTATTCTGTTTTGCACTATAATTGTTTGTATTCTTTATTCATCCTTCCTGCATCCCAGATGGACTATAATATAAGTCCCCCAACCCCTCATAATGTATCAGAGTGTCTGGTATGTAGTAGGTCCTCAATAAACATTTTCACTGAATCAAATACAAAAATATAGAACACAAGCCAGGAAAAGTATTTTCAAAGGACAACCTCTTTTGTCACTTTGGATTTCTGTCTGCCAGCACATGGATCACCTGCACCAGGCCCAAGAATTATTGACACATATTCCTGGTCCTCTATAGAAAAGTAGGGAAAGAGATTAATCACAGAAAACAAAGGTTTTTAAAAGTTATCTTTCTAAAAAAAGACTGTGGAAAAAAAATCTACAGGATAATGCTGGCAAAACTATTTAATCTGCCTTGGCTGAATATGTCCTGAGCTAATGGCTATTTTAAAAACCACTTAAACTAATCTTTTCCCCAGATCTTCATTATGAAAATAGCAAGCTGCAAAAGCCCAAAGGATAAAACAACTTTTGTGATCCCTGAACCTAAAACTAAGCTACAAAGACTGTCCTAATCCAAGCCTTGGGTTAGAAGTCGTACAGCAGAATATTAAAAATTGCTAAGAGAGTAGATCATAAATGCTCTCACCACAAAACTATGACATGCATATGACGTGACAGATAGTTTGATTTAACCATTTCAGTGTATACATATATCAAAACATTCCACTGTATGCAATAAATATATAAAATTTTTATTTGTTAACTATACCTTAATAAAAAAAATAAATAAATTTTAAAAACATAAAGTGGCAGAGGCATCTGATAAATAATAAATATGAGTTTAATCATTTTAAAAAGTCAGGCAGACCACACAAGGTGGCTCACACCTATAATCACAGCACTTTGGGAGGCTGAGGCGGGCAGATCACTTGAGGTGAGGAACTCGAAACCAGACTGACCAATATGGTGAAACCCCATCTCTACTAAAAATATAAAAATTAGCCAGGCATGGTGGCAGGCACCGGTAATCCCAGCTCCTGGGAAGGTTGAGGCAGGAGAATCACTTGAACCCAAGAGGCAAAGGTTGCAATGAGCTGGGACAGAGTGAGACTCTGTTTCAAGAAAAAAACAGCAACGACCACAAATAAAATAAAATAAAATAAAAATAAAAAGTCAGGCAGTAGAGCATAAAGAACACAGGTTTTCATATAGGAAAGGTGTTGATTTGATTTTCAGTCCTATCATTTGATATTTTTATAATCCTATGTGACACATACTTGCATTCTTTTACACTGGAAAGAAAGAGTGATAGAAAGAAGTCATCTGGAAGGTAGCTCTGGCTACGAGTTGGAGGAAAAGGGAAGAAGGAGAGAGAAAAACAAGTTATCAATGGTACACATAGTCAGGACCAAAACTTTATGAACCACATAGAATTTCCACAGACCTAATGATCAATGAGAATTATTTGCCAAGCTGCTAGGTGAAACATGCTGAAAAACATGCTGAAAAACAGCTGGGGCCTATGGGAAACATGTATGTTCAGCTTTATGATTTTCTTCAGCCCCTCTTCTGTCTTGTACTATGTTGCCCCCAACTGTCTTCTAAAACTATTCACTCTTTCATGGTCAATAGAAACTTAGAAACCTAGATTCTCAAACTTTTGCTAAAAAGTCCAGGTCTTTTTAGACACTTGTAGATAGATAAATAACTTAGTGATAAAGAATGCATATTCTGTTTAGGTCCATACTCTAGATCTATCCTATATTAACTGTGTGATAGTTGAAACTGGTTGTTTTGTGCTAAGATTCCTACTTCCTGCACTTTGAGACTCACATACTCAGAGCTAGAAAACTTTTGAGAGTATAAGGTGATAATTACTGCAAATTCACGGAAGACTACCTAAGTATAAATAATCAACCTAACCTCCCTCTTCCTCTAACATTTTCTCACAAAACTAAAAAGTTTGGAAACCCCTTTTCTTAATGGTGGTGCCAGTTCAACCACACTCTAGAAGGTATTAGTTTCATTAACTACAGTGTGAAATCATCAGAATAAAGGGGCAGCATGAGAAAAAATGACAGCATGGGGCTTTGCGGTATATAGATTTAATTGCTCATACAAGAACCTGGGAGGGGGAACCCCTCAAAAGATTAGTCACTTCATTTTGTGTTGCAGAACTCAATTCAGGTTAACAAAGTGTTGCCAACAAAGGAGATGAGAGAATGGCAGCATTCACTTGCCCTGGACTGAATAAACAAATGTGGGATTTGTGGGCTGACTAATGTCCTGTGATAAACCAGGCAGTCAGCCAAATTCTAGGAGTTTTGATGAAAAGACAGCAAACCCACACTTTTCTTCATGGCGAGTGCTCTGTGGGAGTATTGATGTCCACATGGGCAGCCTGGGTCTTCAACTTGCCTTAAAGATTTGCCCTTATCCAGCCACAGGGAATTCTCAATGCTTCTGTAACTGAAAACCTAGATCGAATGACAGAAGCTAAATTCCTACTTCTTGACAAGTGTTAAATATATTTGTCATGCATCTCCATGTAGAAACATGTTATCATTGACCCTTTCTAAACACTACAATACTCTGAAAATATACAGTTAAGTCACTAAAATGTAATTCTAACTTTCCATTCATTCATTCATTCATTCATTTCTTTCACTGAGTGCCTACTACGCTCTAGGGACCATGCAGGGGTCTGTATATAAAACACTTGGTGAGTCTGACATTGAAGCCCCCCATCCAGCCTGAAAATTTCAAGGGCACTGGAAAAAGTAATAAAATGGTTGTAATTGTATTTCTTGGTTAGGGGAAACTATTCAAATTTGCAATATTTTGGTGAGAGAGGCAATAAGTTTTTCAATTAAGGTCTTAATATAAGTTCGTGAAGAAGTCAGAAATGAGAATGAGGAATTTCCTTTTATCTGGCCACCAGGATCCTCCACCATGCTGTGAGGACCACAGTCTTCACTTAACCTCAGGCTAACGTAGATTTTATTGCAAACTGTGCAGCTAGTAAAATGTCAAGGGCTGTTTCACAGGATCTTAACTAACACAAGAAAAACTTCTCAGCAGCAGCTGATGCAAACTCCTTTAAATGTACATGTCTAAGTTATCTATCCAGATAACAAATATACATGGTATATGCAGGCTGAAACAAAATCTCTGGAATGTTCAATGTGAGTATAATATACCTAGAGGCAAAAACTTCACTGATATAAAGGATGCACTTTATGAGTCTCCACAAAAAATCTCCAAATTCTTGTGAAATTTAGGGCCTTCTTAAGTAGTTTTTAACACACAGAGCTTTCATACTTCCCTATATGAAGACCTACTCTCCATGATTTATCAAACCTCCAGAGTCCCAGTGAGATGCTGCCAAGTTGCAAATTTAGAGAATTATCTTAAGAAATATTGTATATAACTGCCTTTGGAAGAAAATTCAGGTAGATTAGCAAAGATTTTAAGCAAGTCCTTTTACAAAAACCTGCAAACTTTCAATGAGTCTGGGGTTTATGAAGTCATCAAATCAATACCAAGTTTAACATATTTATGTTAATCTTATAAGCATAACTCTTTAGGAATAAAGGTATTATAAAAACAAGGTTTGGAAAAGGAGACTAACTCTTGTTTAATTACTGTGAAGAGCAGAGAACTGAAAGAAAAAGCTATGCACAAGTTGGAAAAGTGCTACTCGGGTTTAAAAAAGAGAAAAAGAAAACCTGAGATTGGGATTGGACGATAAGCAGGTGGCAGAAGCAACAAAAAGTCTCTTTCATTTTCAGTTCAGGGGGCCCCTTAAAGGAGTAAGATGAAATGTACAGCCCACAAACCACAGGCAGGCCTGCACAGGAAGTGGAGTGGAAATTACAGTTGAATGGACTCTCAAACAGGATGAAGCCAGTCCTTGGGAGGTTTCAAAAAAACCAAGTAGACAATATGAACATCCAAGTGTTTCCTTGTGTCATTAACTCAGCATTCTGATTTCAAACACCATGGAATCACAATGAAAAAGCTGCAAAAACGGTGGCCATTTTACCAAAATTTCTTTCTGCTGTTTGCTTGTCAGAGCCGATCAGACTCTTCCTTGAGCACTTTACAGGGCACACACTGGATCCCACTGAGGTGAACTATTTGAAGGGTGATATCAGATTTCCCAGCAAAATTAGATAAGGAGATTGACTTGACAAGAAGCATGAGGTAGCATAAGGAGCTTCCCTAGACAGTGCCAGATAATTAGGTGCCAAAAGCCTGAGGTGGTTATTAGAAAATGATTACCACCTCCAATTGTGTTACTTTTCACCGCCAGAAAACTGCTACAGCAGAAGCTAGCCAAAGCAATCACTGCTCCTCTAGGAAGCATTCACTGGGAGCTCTTGCTAACATCCCTACCGTTTGAAAGTAGCTAGACAGGGCAGTGACAGCAATTCCTGCTGTCAATTAAGGAGAAATTGACCAACAGGAATCTAACTTTTAACTGGATTTCAGCCATGCTGCTCCCAAATACTCCTTTCTTTGGTTACCTTTCCACTAGGGCTTCTTTGGCAGCCAAAAAAGTATTTTACTTCCACAGTCATCACAGCAGTACAGAGGAAGAAAAACTGAAAAGAGGTCAGGACTCCTTGACTCTTTACCTAACACTTGGAAGGCCTCTGGCCAAGTCAGCCTGCTTTTCTGTGTTCCCTTTTCCTTTAATTATAAAATAGGATAATATAAAACCTACCTCAAAAGATTACAGAAAGCATCATAAGAAAGAACAGATGAGCTAAGTGCTATGGAAGGTATAATACACATTAATGTACTTAAGTCTATGTGTATGCATGTACGTGTACAGTATATACATTCAACTTTTTAATGTTTTCCAGTTGCATAAAAGAGAAATACAGACTTGGTAATTAACTAGTTAAGTGATATGGACAATATGGATATTTTAGAATAAAAATTCATCCCTTGGTTTGAGGACAAAAAGGCAATGTCTAAATTGTTCAGACAATTTTTTCTTCTGCAAGTCCTAGCCATGGAGTCTACACAAGACTGAATTTTAGGATTGCTAAGAAGCCAGAAAAAAATATTTTAAGGAAAAATAATAATGGCTACTAATTATTAAATGTTTACTATATGCTGGCCAATCTATGAAACACTTTACAGACATTGTTTTGCCTCCTCTTAGTTACAAGCCTGTAAAGTATCTATTATTTAACAATAATATATGTGATGCCTTAAGTATATAAACAAATTTATTGTTAGAATTGAGATTCAGACTCAGGTCTGTCTTACTTCAGGGTCCTTGATCTTACTCAGAGCCATCACAGCTCTCTGAAGAATGTTATTTTTCTCTTCTGTCCCTCCTGTAGGATTTAGCATTTTCCTTTGCTGTTAAAAGTTGGCCCATGTGCCCTGGCTGGTGTGTGGGCCAGTCCCTGTGTGGCCCCTTGTGTAAGGGCAAATGTACTGGAGTGTGACACAGAGGTAGCAGTGTGCAGAAAGGGTTCTAAAAGCAGAGGACAAAAGAAGCTTCACGAGGAAAGCACCTTTGGGACTTATATTCAGCTTTAAAGGGCTGCATTTCTTTGATAAATGTCACAGAGGCTTGTGGTTAGACAGAGCAGGAAAGAACTTTTCCTGTACTCTCCAGCTATTCCATTTAGACTAAAACTCTTCTTCAGATATTAGGAATGAGCTATTTGGCAACTTTTATTCAATTAGGATTCATATCTAAAAAGTTGTTTCACATATCCCCCACCTGTTACCTCTGATGGTTTTTTCTTTGGAGTTAGATACATTCCAAATAGGTCTCCCCAGTTTTGTTCTAGAAAGTAGTACTGACTTGGGAAAGGATTTTAGCACACCTAACAATAATGCTTGAACCCTAGAAGAACCACATGGTATACTAACCTAGTCATTAGATATTATTTACAAACACCATTGGAAAATATTTAAAAAATAAAATTTTAGAATTAAGATTGATACTAATAGGTAAAAAGTGAATGTTTGTTGAGCTCTTACAGAATGGCAAGCATAGTACTATACCTCTTACATGGATTATTTAATTCATCTCATACTATCCCTATGAGACAAGAACTGTTATGATTTCCATTTTCAAATTAGAAGACTAAGTTTGCCATTAAATATTTCTTATTGCCAAAACAGCCACCAACATGACAGAAGAGTAGACCTCAGGCAAGAGTAATGCAAAATTTTCACAGAGCCATCCCTCTCTAACCTCCCTACTTCTCCTGTGTTCTCCCAAATGTCTTATTCCATCATCCAAGGTGGTTACAAATTTCATTCATTTGTCCTACTTTTCCCCTGACATGGATTGGAAACTGGTTATCTCCCATAAAACTAAAAAAAAAAAAAAGTAAGACCTTAAAGGAAGAAAGATATTTAACTCTAAAAGGCCTGAGAATAAACTATGACTCCAAGAAAAGTATACATGTAAATGTATGAAACTGATTGCAAAATGAAAAAATCCAATAGAAATCTCTTAACTGCCAGACTAGCCCCATGAACAGCCTCTTCCATGCAATTCAGTGGAAATTATTCCACAGGAGTTATGTGAAAGAGAAGAAAAAAAATGCAGGATCGGGAGAGTTAGGCCAGTATGATGAGGAACTTTGTCTGGTGTGAGCTCTTTAGTCAGATCTCTCCCTTTCGGAGCCTTCCCTAGCTGAGATATTTCATACCAAAATCTGCCTTAGAGCCACACAATTCTGCTGAGTGCAAGGGCGATGGGATTAGGACAGAAAGACATTTACAGGATGACAGTGTTGAAAAGTTGTTGAAATCCAGCTCTAAAATATACCAAATTATTTATGTCATCTTTTGGGTTTCCAACTCAATGTTTTCTCATCCAGGCTGGGCGCAGTGGCTCACGCCTGTAATCCCAGCACTTTGAGAGGCTGAGGTGGGTGGATTCCTTGATTCTAGGAGTTTGAGATCAGCCTGGGCAACATGCTGAAAACCATCTCTACAAAAAAAAAAAAATTAGCCGGGCATGGGGGTGCACACCGAGTAGTCCCAGCTACTGAGAAGGCTGAAGCAGAAGGACGACTATAGCCCAAGAGGTTGAGGCTGCAGTGAGCCATGATTGTACCACTGCATTACAGCCTGGACAACAGAATGAGTCCCTGTCAAAAAAAAAAAAAGGAATGTTTTCTCATCCATAGGGTCTAACCAACCACAGCAAAGCTGGATTGCAAAACCTCCTTAGAGGGAAAATGTTTAGAAAATAGTCATTTAGTTCTATGGTCTTTGTATCTAATTAACTATGTTTCATTATGTATATGTATAACATCTTCATAAAATGATGGAAGGAATTGTGTACAGTATAAATGAGCTATAAGAATCATAATAAATAATACTGTAATATATTTCAGTATTTGTAATATACTATAATGTTATAGATTACTTACTTCATAATTTTTGTTTGACTAATCCATCACAAGTGCTAAGTTCTTCAACCCATTAGTTCTTGGAAGCATGGAGTTATCAACAGTAGTAAAAGGGTGAAGGGTTGCCTTCTCAATGCTCACGTTGAAATTAAATCACAGAAATAGTTGCTTCTTTCTCACCAAATCACCAGCATCCCGCTGAAACTTCTGAGGATGAAATACTTATATCAGCATATAAATGGATGCAAATAATGAGTGTCTCCTTGATACATTTTGCTGCAACAATATACATATACATAGTTACAGGGCTTGGGGAAAACTATTGGGTACAGACAAAATAAAAAGGAAAAAAAGGAAGGGAAAGGGGATGAGAAGGGCAGAGCAGTGCTTGAGCAAAGGAGGGAGATGAATGACTATTTATTTCATGTCTATTATTGTCATGAGTTGCATTTTAAGCAATTTAGATCACCCTCATTTTTCGGAAAAATAAACCAGGGCTCAAAGAAATGAAGTAGGTTACATTACTAAAAAGTATTAATCACAGGATTTGATCCTAGGTCTCTGTGATTTAAAGAATCTCTATTCTCTTTCACTGTATCTCATTACCTCTCTTTCCAAGAGAATGTTCCTTTGATGTGTGTTTTTCAGTTCTTTAAACACAGATAACATATATCTGATGGCCAGCAAACAGAAGTCTTTTCTTTGATCTCTGCTGTTGAATCAGAATGAGGCTTATTCTTCTCATCAAAAGGGAGGCTGGATGTAGGAGAAAAAAAGAGACAAATGTTAATTAATCCTTTGACTGGGCTATGACCTAAACATAGCGGATATTTCCTAATCCCTCTTCCTAAACGCTTTTATCACCTTGAATAGTGTATGGAGTAGAGAAATACATTCAATAGGATATACCTATACTCAGTAAATAGAACACAATAATAGTTCCACCTCTCATTTCTAGTACAGATGCCAATGCCTGACTTAAACCTATTCCCTAGATCCTCCTGCCTTTTTTCTCTCTTGAAACAACTATCTATACACAGTCTAGTCTCTATGACAGTCTTAGCCGTTCCTTGACAGGGCATGCAGGTAGTCCAACGGCTAAGTACATAAGTTCAAATTCTGTCTTCATCATTGATGTGGTCTTTGACGGGAAAATTATTTAACTTCTCTAATCTGTCTGTGGTTTCTCAATATCTAAAATGGTGATTTATTATGATGACTTATTTCACGAAGTTGCTATTAAAATCAAATAAAATGATATGCATAAAGTTCCTAGCACAGTACCTATGACATAATGGGAGTTGGTGCATTTTTCTTTAATTATTGCTAGATATAGCCCCATAATTTGTAAAGTAGACAAATTACGGTACTTTGAGGTAGCTAGGGAATCATTTGGATGGTTTCCATTTGCTACAGAGAAATTCATTTGGAGGAAAAGAAGCTGAAGGGTTTCTCAAGAGACCTGAACTCTTCAGCTTGTCCCAAATTGTCTTCTTATAGTCTACGTCCAGTGCAAACAAAGTTGCTGCCCATTTAATGTTTAATATTTAATATAGCAAGTGAATTTATTTGAGGTCCAATTTGTATAGTATAGTATTATATTATTATATGTACATATAAAATACTGTTTAATAAATTTGCCTACTGATTTATGAGCATTTTGAGGAGGTTGGACCACAATCTTGAACCACTTGCTTTATGGCAGAATTTCATACTGCTTATGTCTTCACTTTTAGAGCATATTGCTAAGTCTATATGTTTATTTAGTTTTTGGTGAAGAATACAAACCCCAAGGATAACTTTAAGTGATGTGCTTTTTGATCTTCATTGTGACAAAAAGCATGGGCACCTACGCATTCCACCACTTCCTTCATCAGCACCACAGCTGCCACCAGTACAGCCTATTCCCCAGCCTATTTTGTTTCCCATGTATAGATGGTTAGAAAAAGAATTGAGTAATTTAGTGAAGCTAAGCTATTAGTACATTTGCTGAGGTAATACTTTGCATTTCCATTAATATGAATACTTGTACCAAAAGCAAACCATAAGGGTTATAGTGATGATATGCTGGATGAGAAAAAACAGAGGATTCAAATTCCACTTTCACTACAAATTAGCAATGTGGAGTTGAGTAAATTAACCTCTCTAAGTCTCAGTTTCTACATCTACTAAACCTAAACAAACTCAAAACAGTGACTATTTCATTAGACTAGATATTTTGATTAAATGGCTAATATACAATAAACAATCAACAGATAGTAGCTATTTCTGTGTTAGAATACAAGCAATTCATTTTACTTTATCACTGTACTCATATTTTCCTTTCTCCTATTTTTCCTTTAGCCTCTTAATCCTATTATTTATGTGTGTAAAATCAAATCCTTTGTTGAAAGAGACCACATATTAAAAGAAAATAAACACATACATACACACAAATAAATAAATAATATTTTTCCAAAAGAAAAATATTAGTCATCAAAAAAAAAATCTATAAAGTATTAATCATGTGAAATGTATGCATGGTGGAAATGGATCATTTAGCACTTTGTAACTTGAATATACAGTAGTATTCTCAGGAGAGAGTCAAAAAGGTTGTGTCAGCATCCTAATGAAACATATTCAGGCACCTTTGCCTTCAAACTTCTTTTCCCAGCCAAGATGACAAATGTGGGTTAAACATTTCCTCTCTAACTGACTCATTTGGCAGAAAAAGAAATCCAGATGCCAAGAGGAATAGAAAAAAAATGGTGGGGATAGAGGCACAGGAAGGAGGGGGAGGAAGGAGAAGCATGTCATATTTCATCAAGCTATAAAAAAAGCCAATGCAGAAGATTAAAAGAAGGATACATTGACTTTCACAGGTAAAAACCAGGTTCTGGAAATACAAAAATTTTTAATGTTAATTTCACACCAAAGAGTATTAATTAAAGTGTTTTTTACAGAATCACTATACTATAATTCAGTTATTTACAGGATAATAACAAATATATATATGAACTTATACAGGAAAGCCAAGGATCAAACCTCTAAAGCATTCACACTCATGTATACTAACAGACCCAAAGTCACACTTTAATTGAACTACTATGAAAAATAATCAGAGCAATCATTTTATAATTTAATTATAGGAAACACCTAGGATATTCTACTCTGTTTCTATGCATTTTACAATTTTTAACTAATTTGTTCTATAATAATTGCTAAAGATTATCATGTTAATCTTTCACCATCACACCCAAATTTTTATAAAATAAACAGGTGTGAAATCTCAGCTGACTTAAAAAAAAAAAAAGTACAAATACTAAAACATCATATTGTGTTAGTTATACCCGCCCTAGGCAAAACAGTTTCACTTCCACTGTTCCTTCTTTCCTGCCCCTTTGCCTTATATTTCTCTGATATTCATGCCTGAAAGTTGTTTTAAAGATAAAATAAGATAAAGTTAAATGACATATGTAAAGTCCTCAATAAATAGTAGCTCTTATTACCATTGCTATGGTCGCCATCATTATTGCTGCATTTATTTTATTTTGCCATTACTCAATCTTTTTTATTTTTTTAATTATTTACTTTTTATTATTATACTTTAAGTTCTGGGGTATATGTGCAGAACACGCAGGTTTGTTATATAGGTATACATGTGCCATGGGGGTTTGCTACATCTATCCTGTAATCTACAGTAGGTATTTCTCCTAATGTTATCCCTCCCCAATCCCCCCACCCCTTGCTATTCCTCACCTAACCCCCCTACCCCCCAACAGGTCACTGTGTGTGATGTTCCCCTCCCTGTGTCCATGTGTTCTCATTGTTCAACACCCTTTTATGAGTGAGAACATGTGGTATTTGGTTTTCTGTTCTTATGTCAGTTTGCTGAGAATGATGGTTTCCAGCTTTATCCGTGTTCCTGCAAAGGACATGAACTCATCCGTTTTTTTATGGCTGTGTAGTATTCATGGTGTATATGTGCCACATTTTCTTTATCCAGTCTATCACTGATGGGCCTTTGGGTTGGTTCCAAGTCTTTGCTATTGTAAACAATGCTGCAATAAACATATGTGTGTATGTGTCTTTATAACAGAATGATTTATAACCCTTTGGGTATATACCCAGTAATGGGATTGCTGGGTCAAATGGTATTTCTATTTCTAGATCCTTGAGGAATCGCCACACTGTCTTCCACAATGGTTGAACTAATTTACACTCCCACCAACAGTATAAAAGCATTCCTATTTCTCCACATCCTCTCCAGCATCTGTTGTCTCCTGATTTTTTAATGATCACCATTCTAACTGGCATGAGATGGTATCTCAATGTGGTTTTGATTTGCATTTCTTTAATGACCAGTGATGGTGAACTTTTTTTTATGTTTGTTGGCTGCATAAATGCCATTACTCACTCTTGAAGGTGGCTACCATGGGTATACCAAAGATTATGTGTAGTACTAAAGGCAAGATTTTGGATACATACAGACAAAAAAATAATTTAGTAGTAACATATTTATATTAAAGTATATTTAAAATTTTATAACTAGCACATCAACCTAGTGATTTAACAGATATTATTATTAAACAAATTTAATTAAATTTAAAATCATGGTATATTTTCAGAAGCATAACAGTACAGGTAGCATGTGAATAGCATAATCATGAGGATGGTATATAAATAACTACAGTTTGGAAAACAATGAAATAAAGCATAAACAACTGCTTTCACAACCTAAGGAGTGGGGGAATTAGAGTCACATTTTGAAAGTAGCAAATCTTTCACCTGCTAGATTATAAATTTCTTGAGGACACATACTCTTCATAAGAAAAAAAATCTTATAATGGCAGAGAATGTGAAAAAGCCTTAAGTTATAATTCATACCTTATTCAACATCATGTTTCTTAGTAGAGAAAAACCTCTAAGTATGAGACAGCATTTACCAGTGACTAAAATCCATGGAAAGAAAAAACTCCCAAATTACTAATAAAAGTGGAAAAATTTTACCCAATCATCCTTCACAACATTGGAAAAATCTAAGCACATAGTAGCACTCAATAAATTTTTGCGAAATGAATAATTGATATGGCTATCATAACTACAGATAACCTAAAGCATCAAAACCAAATAAAATACACATTTGATAGCACCTTAAAATTTGGGGGATCGAGAGGAAAGATGCTAAAAATAAAAACAGATGGAATTACAATTACTGCATAAACAGTGTTACAATGACAGCTATTAATAGGATTATCTATTGTAAATAGATTCTCCAAACATGTATATATTTCATAGTTATGAAAACTTATCATTCAGTCATATATATTATGGATATAATTGATTAGAAGGGTTTAAGTATAGCCATTCTTGTATGCTTGTGTGACAAGAGTCAGAATTTAAGAAACTTTGCAGAAACGTAAGGTTTTTTTTAAGAAGTAAATTCAGTGATATCTGTTTTGCTTTCTTTAATGTAATAATGCCAAGGTCAACATTATGGACAATTTTTAAAATCTTACTGTTGGGTCTGAGTACTTGTGAAACAACACTCTGAAGACACCCAAAGACAGCATGAATGGGATGGAGCTTCCATTGTGCCACTGTGGTGACCGTGGGGCAAGGTGGAATCTGAATACTTCAGGGAGGGTGGGATTTATTCTTAACTCACAAGCAGACAGCTGAACTAGTCCTCATGCATTTATTAATTTTATCTGTTGCAATGCATAAATACATTTCTATGCCATCCTCTTTTAAAGAGCATTTTTCACTTTCTGCTT